ATGAGCACACTGAGGGCAACCCTTGCTTCTCCTTTCATAAGTAGGTAAAGGCCCTGCTGATTTCCATACTCCTTAATCCTAGGTCACCTGCAGAGCAGTAAATCATGGTGGGCATGCTTTTATGGGAAGTCTAGGCCATCAATTGAATAAATATTCAATTCTTCCTTCAATATTATTCTTCTCTTCCTTCACACTTTATCCTCAGTTTCCGTGCCAACAATTGAGATTTCTATAATCTCCAATGACATTAAACTTTCATTTCACTACCAGAGATAAAGTGAAAAATGTGCTTCATTTGCTTGAGGTAACAACCCAGTTGAAATGCAGTCAGTCAGCAAGTATAAAGGAAAGCTGGCCAGATCCTTTAGTGTTGCTAGGTGGGAAAGGTTGAAGAGAGTCACAGGGCAGGAGCAGCAAACTGAGATGACCACAAATAGCTTACAGATAGCATTAAGTACAAGACGTAAAGAAAAAGTAGAGGCCGAGTGCAGTGGCTCATGCCTGTAATCCCAGCACTTCATTCAGGAGGCTGAGGTGGAAGGATTGTTTCAGTCCTGGAGTTTGAGATCAGGCTGGGCAACATGGCAAAACCTTGTCTCTACAAAAGACAGAAAGAAAAGAAAAGAAAAGAAAAAAAACAGGTGCGGGGGTATGTGTGTAATCCTAGCTGCCCAGGAGGCTGAGGTGGGAGGAGTGGTTGAGCCTGGGAGGTCGAGGCTGTAGTGAGCTGTGATCAGGCCACTCTGCACTCCCACCTGGGCAACAGAGAAGGACCCAGTCTCAGACAAACAAGCAAACAAAAAACCAAAAGAAAAAGTAGATGCATGGGGGAAGGACGGGGGGGTGGGGAGTTGGGGAGAGATAGCATGGGGAGAAATGCCAGATATAGGTGAAGGGGAGGAGGGCAGCAAATCACACTTCCATGTATGTACCTATGCAACAATCTTGCATGTTCTTCACATGTACCTCAAAACCTAAAATGCAATAAAAAAATAAAATAAAGAAAAAGTAGATGCAAAAGGAACAGCCAGTGCTCACTTACAGGTGATTTTTGTCCTCTGTGAAAGTGGACCCAGTGTTGCCTGAATTTTTGATTTTTTTAAAAAAGAAGAATTTTCAAAATGTTTGTGAAATCATCAGATTTCTACATATTGTCAATCCATTCCAAAACTTTTATAATGTGTTACAGGCCAAAGAAAGCACATCCAGTCGGTGGGTACCACTTGTGATCTCTGCTGTAAAGCATTTGATGTCTGAATTGGTGGAAGGGACACGGGAGCGCACACCTATCTGGGGAGTCCACTAGAATACAGAATGCAAACACAGGGGCACATGTCTTTGAGCAGGTAGCTGATAGCCAGGGGCTGTCAAGTTATTATGTGTCCCAGGCCAAGTAATAACTTCTTGGACTTCTGAAAAGTATATTTCATTTCCATGCCATCGTGTTTTTAACACGCTATTTACAGTGCTCAGTTATCATTTACCCAAAAGTGCAATTTTTCTCTCATGAAGCACTCATAATCTTATGTAGTTAATATGTAACCCAGAAATTTCTACTTGATTAGAAGACAGTTATTGATAGTATGCCATGGATAGATTTGTTAATTTCTTGTTATAGTTATTCAAATACATATTCATGGTAGAGTAATTAGCACTTTCTAGTTACTGTAAATAATGGACATTAGGCCAGGCGCGGTGGCTCATGCCTGTAATCCCAGCCTTTTGGGAGGCCGAGGTGGGCAGATCACAAGGTTAGGCTAACACAGTGAAACTCTGTCTCTACTAAAAAATACGAAAAATTAGCCAGGCATGGTGGCATGCACCTGTAGTCCCAGCTACTCGGGAGGCTGAGGCAGGAGAGTCACTTGAACCCAGGAGACGTAGATTGCAGTGAGCCGAGATCGCACCACTGCATTCCAGCCTGGGTGACAGAGCGAGACTCCATCTCAAAAAAAAAAAAAAAAAAAAAGAATGGACATTATAAATAACGGTCTTCAATTCTGGCTTTTCTGAGTAATTCTATCAGGGACATGTTGAAATTCCAATGACCTTTTTTTTTTTTCTTTTTTGCCTTAGAGGCATCTTTTGTGCATAATGTATTTCTTTCTTTTTTTTTTCTTTTTCCTCAAGACAGGGCCTCCCTCTGCCACCCAGGTTGGAGTGCAGTGACACCATCAATGACACCATCAGGGCTCACTGCAGCCTTGACCTCCCCAGGCTCAAGTGATCCTCCCACCTCATCCTCCCAAGTAGCTGGAACTATGGGTGCACACCACCACACCTGGCTAATTTTCTTATCTTTTGTAGAGATGGGGTTTCGTTATGTTGCCCAGGCTGGTCTCGAACTCCTGGGCTCAAAGCAATTCACCTGCCTTGGCCTCTCAAAGTGCTGAGATTACAGGCATGAGCCCCTGTGCCTGGCTCTTATAATGCATTACACACACCACAGTGTAGTGAGCACATTCTTTCTTTTTTTATTATTTTTTAAAATTTATCATTATTTTTAAAGATGGGGTTTCACCATGTTGGCCAGGATGGTCTTGATCTCCTGACCTCGTGATCCGCCCTCCTTCTCCTCATGATCCTCCTCGGCCTCCCAAAGTGCTGGGATTATAGGCGTGAGCCACCGTGCCCAGCATGAGCACATTCTTTCACTGAAATAACACTATCCATATTCACATATACATACAACTAGCATCGTTAGAAACATCTGCTATACATTGTCTTTACAAGTTGCATTCCATTAAAGCACCACAGTGTTCCAGTGACCAGTGAGTGCTGATTTATTATCAATTTTCACTGTTGCCTTCTCACAATTTTTACCTGGGCCCAGTGCTGCCCAGAGTAAGGCTACATTCTTCACTCCAAATGTCGTAAGACTAGTACCAGCCAATGGTATGTAACAAGTGATGTGGGTAACTTTTAATGTTCTTAAAGGGAGAGAGTGTGCCTCTTATTTCATCCCAGTGCTTGGAACATAATCAAATGGCAAGCCACCTGAGATAGTAGACTAGAAGGCCATGCAGCAACACAGAAAGAGCCTGGCTCCTGGATGACCTCATGGAGCAGAGATTCCTTACCAGCCCTTGACTGTCTACCTCCATACTATTACATAAGAGAAAAGCTTCTCTCTTGACTAAGTCACTCTTGGGATCAGCCTACATCCCAACTAAATCTATACCCTAACTTTTGCGAGACAAATCATTGCACTGAGGTTATGTAAAGGGAGGTGGGGGAAAGAGAAATATATGATGATGTACTGATCAGTATTCCCTGTTGTTCAGTTTTTAAAATATGGTTTGTTTGTTTGTTCATTTTGAGATGGAGTCTTGCTCTGTCGCCCAGGCTGGAGTGCAATGGTGCAATCTCAGCTCACTGCAACCTTCGCCTCCCAGATTCAAGGCATTTTCCTGCCTTGGCCTCCAAGTAGCTGGGACTGCAGTCATATGCCACGACTCCCGGCTAATTTTTGTATTTTTAGTAGAGACGAGGTTCCACAATGTTAGCCAGGCTGGTCTCGAACCCCTGGCATCAGATGCCACCTTAGCCTCCCAAAGTGCTGGGATTACAGCCTTGAGCCACTGCGCTTGGCCTAAAATATGTTTTAAAATTCAAGTTCAAACTAATATATATGCTAAAATAAATATGAAACTAAGCACATAGTTTGTATTAGCATCTGATAGCATGATGACTTTATTTTACTTTTTCTAGTTTATTTTTTCATTCCCTGTGGTTCTTTATTCAGCAAATGCACATTGAACAACAGAATTGGGTTTTAAACACCATGAAGGAACACTGACGCACTATGAGGAGCAATGAGATGGATAAAAAAGTACTTCCTTTCTCTAAGAAGATTACAGTGTACTTGCAGAGATAAAATGTTTATTAAAAGGTGGCATGTGATAAGTTCCATGGAAAAGATCCCAAGGAGGCGTGTCAGCTCAGAGGAAACATCCCTGCCACCCTTGGGCCTTCATGACCAAGAGGTTGTTTAAGCAGGTTTATTTTGGTTGCACTTCAGAAGAATATTACCTCAATAACAATATATGGCCAGTCGCAGTGGCTGACACATATAATCCTAGCACTTTGGGAGGCCAAAGCTGGAGGATTGCTTGAGCCCAGGAGTTCAAGAACAGCCTGGGCAATGTAGTGAGACCTGTCTCTACAAACAAATTTTTTTAAAAATAGCCAGGTGTGATGGCATATGCCAGTGCTCCTAGCTGCTTGAGGGGCTGAAGTGTGAGGATCCCTTGAGCCCGGGAGGTTGAGGCTGCAGTGAGCCATGATCATATCACTGTACCCCAGAGTGATGGAACTACAGGGCAATAAAATGAGACCCTGTCTCAACACAAACAAACGGACAGACAAACAAAAGCAATGTAGGTATTTTTTGATACTGGATAGTTTATGTAACTGTTCTTCCAGATTCTATCTATCCTTTAAGCACATAACAATGATCTTTGCATTTTCATCTTACTCTCATTTTACTGAGATTATGTTTTTATTATGATCATTTAAAAGATTTATCTCTGGGTATAAAAATGTCCTCATTATTAATAAGGAAATAAAACAAAGTAATGGTGATGAAATAATCTTTTCTTAGATTGCAAATAATCTCATAGTTATAAAAAATATTCCCTATTTATTAGGCAAACAGTGCCCCCTTTTGACCACTAGATCCTATAAAAGAAATCCTAAGACAGGAGACACTTTTCATCTCTGCTAAAAATTAAATTATATATAGATTTATATTATTATATCTAATTATGTATCATATTTGTTATAGCAATAATACCTAATTATATATTTTATATATAGTATATAATTTCTAAAGAAACCATCCTATGTAGGTTTAAGACTATACTGTGTGCTTTTTATTGTTTATTTTGTAGATTCATGTTGTATTTTTTTTAATGATTAGGTCCACTAGGGTGTTTAATGGCAGTTTTGTAAGATCCAAATTTTAGTTTTATGAATCTTCTTTATCCTGTCTGATTCAGGTTGAATATGAAGGCTTAAAGCATGAGATTAAGCGATTTGAGGAGGAGACAGTGCTGCTGAACAGCCAGCTGGAGGATGCCATCCGACTGAAAGAGATTGCTGAGCACCAACTGGAAGAAGCCCTCGAGACTTTGAAAAATGAAAGAGAGCAAAAGAACAGCCTGCGGAAGGAGCTCTCCCAGTACATCAGCCTCAACGATAACCATATCAGCATCTCAGTAGATGGACTCAAATTTGCTGAGGATGGGAGTGAACCAAACAATGATGATAAAATGAATGGGCATATCCATGGGCCTCTTGTGAAACTGAATGGAGACTATCGGACTCCCACCTTAAGGAAAGGAGAGTCTCTGAACCCTGTCTCTGACTTATTCAGTGAGCTGAACATTTCAGAAATACAGAAATTGAAGCAGCAGCTTATGCAGGTAAGAACTTGGTTTCAGGCCGCTAGAGTGAATTTCTTGTAGATTGCATGTAGTATGTTGTGGGACTTCTGATTCTTGATTCTGGCGTTTCACTTCCAGATTTCTTTTCCCTTCCCTTCCCTTCCCTTCCCTTCCCTTCCCTTCCCTTCCCTTCCCTTCCCTTCCCTTC